ACAGAGAGGCCAACAATATAATTCCAAGAAGTTTGCTACCAGGACTTACAGGTACAAATTAAAACACAGGAAGTTCCATCTCCATGTGAGGAAGAACTTCTTTCCTGTGAGGGTGACAGAGCCCTGGAACAGGCTGCCCAGAGAGGCTGTGGAGTCTCCTTCTCTGGAGATCTTCCAAACCCTCCTGGATGCCACCCTGTGCCACGTGCTCTAGGTGTCCCTGCTGGAGCAGGGGGGTTGGACTGGATGATCTCTAGAGGCCCCTTCCAGTCTCAACCATTCTGGGATTCTGCGGTTCCGTGACTCGGGAGAAGGACGCTGTTCCAAGAAGGGAGATGGCGCACGGCAGCAGTTCGACTGCAGGAGATGCTCTTGCTTAGGAAGATCTAGGCCAGTGATTGCCCAGTGAAGTGGCGGGAGAGACCAAAATGGTGATGCGGGAGGATGGCTCCCTGGCAGGCCAGATAGCCCAGCGTTACCACGTTATAAAGCGTTTCTATCAGAGTCAGCAAGTACAGCTAGAAAAAATGGGCGTAGGGAAGATGTTTAAGATTATAATATTCAAAATTCACCAGCTGTTCAGTAGTTGGAAAACAAGTAAACAAAACAAGCACCCGTAGCACTGGAGTTTTCCTAAACTGTTCTAAGCAGCCCAAAAAACACCTGTTGTGCCAGTAATGGTATCTTCTTGGGCAACACAAGAGGATATTGCTAAATTAATGGCACTGCAAGAACTCATCAGCAAATGCTCCTCTGGGAACTGGTTTTTGGAATGAATGGGCAAAGTCAAAGACATAAAATTAACAGCATGTGTCAACCTTGGTGCGTAAGATGAGCAAGCCTCAGGCTTCCTGTTTTTTATAGCGTACACGGTATGAAAACAAGAGATCAACCGGTAGCCCCTCGTTAATGAGAACACTGCATTTTACAGATACTGGCATGATTAAAACGTTACTGCTGATCAGTGCCAATTATCTAGAATAATCCTGTTAGCATTAGCTCAACTGCTCGTTTATAAATCTCAGCAACGCTAATTGTATTTGAAACTGTTACAAACACAAACTCCTTTTGTGCCCCATGAAAGCCTGCAAAGCCTGGTCCACTGACCAGCTGATACAACAAACAACCCTCATTTTAACTCTTTGCAACCTCAATGTTACCAAAGTGCTGCTGCATATTCAATATACTGTACTGACAAAGTTAATACAACATTTTACTTCATTTTGCAGTAAACATTATTCTCCTGCCATAACAAGATATACACCTCAAATACCTATTCTTACTGCTATAAGAAAAAAAAGAAAAAAAAAGCTTTGCCATGGTTCTTTATCAAGTCTACAGCTTAAATCACAACACGCATCTGTAAAATGAAACTGTATTTGCTTTTGCCTTACTGCTATTTAATTTGTACTAGAAGAGCAATTAGGGAGCAGACACTTTGCTGAACTCCAAATAACTGACAGAAATGGTGTTTGAAATTACTGGATGGCTCTAGTTGGCTTTGGGCAAACTTTTTTGACCAAATCAAGACAGAGAATAGAGGAAATCCAAGGGAGGTTTCATTAAATAAATTTATTTGTTAAAATAATTTAACTCCAAATACAACTGCTGAGTTTGCATTGAGTTCTATGTACAATTCTTGTTTTATTTGAAACATCAAGGTTTAAACAACTGACATTGTTACAAAACAAACTGTTGCCCCCTTTTAAGTTGCCAGTTGCATTAGAGCTCAACAGTTACCTGTGAAATACACTTATCCACCTCTGGGAAACTCCACATCAACGCATCGACAGCGGTGAGGCTGCTTCCAAAACCCCTCTGGTCACTCTTCAAACCCTGATCAAGAATTACAGGTGCACAGCAATGCAGATAAAAGCCCCCTGCAGTTGTCAAACATTTGCTTTTGTCGCGGAGTTTCACAATTAAAGCCTAACCAGTGCGTCGACCCTACACTGGTAACAAAATAAAATAAAAAACAAACATGCACAAAACCCCCCAACCAAATGGCTGACATCTTTAGGCAACATTCTATACAGGAAAGCAAATACCAGTAGTTTTCCCACAGAAAAAGTAATGGCAACTGTAGCACTGGGGTTAGAGAGAGGCTGGAACCAGAACAGAAAAAGTCACCAAAATCTTTTTGATGCTCTTAAGGACAAAGGTAAAGAGAAAGGAGTGAAAGAGGGTTTAAAATAAAAAAAAAGGAAAAAGAAAAAGAAAAAGGCGCAATTATGCTTAATACTCTTGACCTGATTCTGGCTTGTTTTGCCTAGTTTTGTGTGTCTTTTAAGGGAAGGAGGAAACAGTTGCTATCACTATCATAGCTTAAAAGAATAAAAGTTGCAACACTTAAAAAAAAAGAAAGAAAACAATAAAACCGGAGAGATGCTGTTTTTGTAGAAAAGCACAAAGTTCTACAAGAACAGCCAAAGGAAAAGTGGGTCTTTGGAATAAATCATAATATTTTAAGGCATGTTATAAAAAACTTTCAAATACTATAATCGGTAGTCCTAGCAGGGCACAAATTAAACCACGACCATCGACTCCTACAGGGCTCCTCACGGAGCTACCCCTCCGCCAGCCTCCCGTTTTGAAAAATCTGTCAAGTGCAACTGTCATTGATTCAAGCTCCACTATATTCACATTAGTGGAAATACAAATAGTGCATAACTACTTCCTCAGAATTACACAACGAAAAAACCAACACCTACCGTTCCCCCCCCGACCCCGCAGTATCGTGTGGGAGCTTAGATGGCCTAAGCTTTGGAAAATGTAAAAACTACTACGATCTTTTCAGGAATGTTTTCTGTTTGGAGTGTCACCGTGCGATTTTTCCTCTATTAAAGCCCATGTGGTTTACATCGTTAAGTTCACATTAGGCCCTTCACATTGTACGTCGTGCCGTTTTGTTGGGTGTTGTTGAACCATCTGTGAGGTAAGGGTATTTTTTAAAAAAGACTTCTGTAAGTAACGGTGTATTAACACGTACTCCAAACTGTGTTTTAAATTTGGTACTTCTGCATGCTTGTGCAGCGGGTCTCACGCCGACGAGCTATTCCACAGATGGGTTGTACTGCTCAAATGACCCTTTCCCAACCGCGGTATTTCAAAAACTAAGAGATAACTGGTTCAACGTGTCGGATTTTGCTTCCAGGCGGTGGCTGGCACCACGCGGGGAGGCGGGCGAGGGGGAAAGCCGACATTCACACCCCCTGGTTTGGGCTCGCCGGCTAAACGCGGCTCGGAGGAGCCAAGCGAGGAGCCCAGGCTTCCCTGCGAGTCAGTGGAGAGAGGTAGGTGCCTCGGGGCGGGCGGCCGGAGCACCCGGAGCACCCGGAGCGGGCGTTCGGGTGCCAGAAATGAACGGTGCGAACGGCTCCCTGCAGCAGCAGAAGCGCTGCAAGGCAGGCGGGAAGGAGGACTGCGCTAACGCTCTAGTAAGGCTTAATGTTTGTGACATCTAATGCCCTTCGATACATCGGTTATGGAAAGGTTTCGGAGGAGTAAGGGCAGAGATGGCCAGTTCTCTTCCGTTAATGTGATTTTTCTTTAGTTGTTATCCACCTAAATAGTTTTAAAACGTTAAAAAATATTTATGTATGAAAATCTGCCAAGGTGTTTTGTACTCAAGCTTCCTTTGTAGGAGATGAGAGCATTTTCAGGAAGTTCTGCAGATGGAGGCAAAACTCTCGAACCTAACTCCAATTACAGCATTTCTAAGGGCCATATACACGCACATACACCCTCAGCACACACACACACACCCCAGAACCCCTGGGTTCACTCATTTAAACACAAGGAACTACACTGTTACTGCACGAGATTGAAAACTAATAAAAATGCATGATGTCATTTAGACCACAGGCTCAGTGATTTATACGTTTATGGCCAATTTTACCTATAAAAAATCCAGCTCAAAGCAATCTCTCCAGCATTTAAAATCTAAACACTTTGATTGAAATCTTTTCTATACTTTGATTGTAAGACTTCAGAATAGGTATTTCTGTGCCATTAGTCATGCAAATGATAAATACTTCACTGCTATGAAACTAGCAAGTCAGAGCTCGAGCATCCTCTCAAAATAAAATATTTGCTCCCACCATTTAACACTCCAATAGTTCGGGCAACCTCTGAATAGTGTGACAGGCAATTAAAGAGCCATTTCCACGCTCACCTAAGGAATTATAACGGTAACTACTTTACCTCTGAACCGAATGATTTCACATGGTTATTCAATTAACAATGTTTTCAACATTAAAGCTATGAAATAGCAATCTTGATTTTCAAAGGTTAGTTAGGGATCACACCAGAGAACGTAGCCCTTAAAGGCAAGAAAAAGTGTTGTCTAACAAACTTAAAAATGCAGGATGTTCATACTGTCCCACGAGGTTTCTGCAGAAGGGAACATATGGATGCAACATGGCTTAATTTTCCTTACAAGATGGTACTAGTTAATCTATTAAAGTGTTCCTTGTTAGTAAGGCTCAGCATTTTTTTTTCATCACAGTTGCTTCCTCCTGGTTCAGTAAAGTGATAAAGATGCTTCCTGCTTTGTAAACAGAGGGTTTGTTTGGCTTTTTGTCTGACCAAAACCTGAAGAAATCCTCCATTTTCGAGCAGCAAAACAAAAGATCTAAAACATTCCAATGCCACACTTGGTTTCTTCACCCGTCACTCGTTCTCAGCTCTTGCGTCTCGCTTCATACGCCGATGCAATGTTTTCCATTTCAAGACGTGGGATAACGTGTAGAAATAATAGCGTCGATTTTGAAAAAAATCCAAACTAGGTAGGTCTCTGGTAGCCTCTTCCTCTAACACTGTCAGAAGTTCAGGTGAAATCAACAGATCGGAGCAGACGTGGCCACAAGCGGCCATGACGCGCGGTGAGCGGACACTCCGAGACCTGCCTCTCCTCCGGCGCTCATGCCAGGGGCGAGTGCTCTTCACTGATACTCTCTCTTCTGCTTCTGCTTCCTGTCACCAGAAGTTTTCTGACTTCTCAGCGAAATAGCTGCTGCCGGCGCCGTCTCACGTGACAGCGCAAGGAACTCAACGGGAACGACCCTGTAGATCAGTTGGCTGTGCCATAAAGTTGCAGGTGCTCAAGGGGAAAAATGGGTGAGATGTGGTCATTTAACCCAATTGTATTCAGAGTCAGTGATTGACTTCCAATGCTCAGCTCTGAGTTAATGTCGCTACTTCACTACAGATGTACTTCAAGTGACCCACAGACCAGGAAGTGAAGTAGACAGTTTTACCACCTTACAAAATTTCTGCAAATGAGGTCCAGGTTAGGTAATTCTTAATGCTATTGTATATTACATGCAGAACAGCATGGATCATCTTTGTCTGGCTGTGCTGCATAGTTCATCTGTCTGACGATTTCCGCAAAGAGCTCATCCACCATCGTTTTGCTCTTGGCAGAGGTCTCCATGAAGGGGCAGCCCCACTCTTCGGCTAAGGCTCTGCCCTCGTTCGACGACACTTCTCGCTCGCTTTCCAGGTCCACTTTATTACCAACGAGGATTACCGGCACCTTCTCATACCTACATTTAAAGAAACAAAAGAAAACAGCAATAATGATCTACTTTTAAAATATATCCAAAATATAAACATGTATTTGCAAACAGTACAGACCCAAGAGACAGATACATCCAGATAACCTTAAAAAGTGCTTTAACATTTTTTTCACACCCGGGAGTGTGTTACACATCTCTTTCAGCCTTTTCTTACAGTTTGAATGAATGCTTCTTCCTCCGATTTTTCCCCTCCTCCCCCCACCAGGAAATGTGTCTGGAACACTTCCACACTACAAAAACTGGGAATGTCATATTTGTATCCTAGCAATCTCAATTAGGGGTAAGAACAGGATGGAGGCCCAACCTCCCTCCAACATTACATTCTTTCTCTCTGACAAATCATCCTGCGCTTGCTGCTTGGGATGAGGGAGATGCATCGTTCTCCCTTTCAAGGGTAGATCCACGTTTGGTTAAAATACACAGGACTCAGGCAAGAAAAGGGAGAAAACCAAAAGGGAGAAAACCAAAGGGTCACCAAAGTAGCTTGAAATTTCAAGAAGTGCATCTGCTTCAGCCACTGTATATACAAAAATGTTACATGAAAACATGTATTAGCTAATATAGAAGATACAGAGCACCTCCCTGTAGCATTCACATCACTGTGCCAGTTAAACCAGCCGAAAAGCAAAATTTGTAAGTACCAGGCAATACTATCACAGTTCTGCTGCATGATCAACTTGGACAGTAGAAGAGATTATATAAGTTATGGAGGAATTTATCACTTTGCACCTCCCAGGGAGGGGATCCTTGCCAATTTTATTTTTTTTTTAATTAAAATGCCCATCTCTCTTTTTTACTTCCACCCTCACATACATAAACCCCTTCTCTAGATACTGAACTGAACAAGTGTTCACTCAGGTTTTAAATTTACGCATATGCCATAACAGAGAAGAAAACACTGGGCCTAATTCCAAAACGCTCCTGCATGGATTTTCTTATGAAAGCAATAAGGACAAAACAAAAGTGATTAAAGAATTTAGCACTTAAACCAAACCGAGATTTAAGAGAAACAAGATGCCTCCCTGTTCATTTAAACCAAATTCCTACTTTCTATTAGTTTAGCACTCTGTTTTGAGCCAAGTCACTTCAGCAAGACCAAGCTGTGGTCAGACAACGTCCACAGCCAACACGTGCCAGCAGTTTAAGGTGTCACCACCCTGAAGCCATCTGTGACTCCTCCTTTTTGCCTTTATGCTCCCTTGCGGGAGGGCAGCAGAGCGGAGCTGCTGCGTGTGGCTCCACTGCTTGGGTGCAACATCTGGCAGTGGGGTGTAAACACCAGCAACGGTCACACTAAGCAGTCGAGAGACTCTGCAGGAGCAAGGAACCCACATAATCCCGTTAACTGGGGTTGGTGACTTCCCACGGATTCACAAGGGGACGGCAACTCCTCCAATCGCCTCCGCAACTCTTACACCACCAGAGCAATATCAAAAACAGCAGTGCAACTTAGTTCTTGACTTTGTTAGGTCCCTGCAGTAGCTGTGGAAATGTCACTTATTCCAGAGTCTAAGGCTCTTGTCAATAATCACACCCAGTTCCTCTCATTTCTTCCCCTATAGATAGCTTAGCACAACGAGCAGCAGCCTTTGGGATCTCTTACAAGAGCCAAGTTGCCACTCATTAATTACCAAAATACACAAAAGCATCTTGAAATCTGCCCTTCTGCATTTAAACACACCACGGCATAATCTTTGACTGCATAAAATAGCCAGTGTTGACGAGATGAGACAGTAACTCCATACTTTTTACCTTTGTTACTCAAACGCATGGACCCTATCGGATTTATTGCACAGCACTAAAACTCCTCTGCCAAGGTGGAATCAGGGACACCTTTGGTTTGCTTTGCTCTCCAAGGGCCCCGAACATAAACCTTTCCTAAACCCTTTGTAAACCACTTGAGAAGTGTTCAGTGAAATAATGGATGAGCCAAAATTTGAATACAGGATCTTTGTCTCTCTCCTCAATCTGCAGGATCACTGCAATTTACTGAGAAACATATCGAAGCCCCCCCAGCACCACCACACGCACTCCTGTTGCAGATTTATAGACAGTTCCACTGAGATATTTAAATGCTTTAATAGGTTTAAGAAGGCTGGGCAGCCTTCTTAATATCTTTGGGGATCTGTTTGCAAAGATTACTCTGCATCTTGGGAAATGCACGGGGGAGTAAACATCAGTTTCATACTTTGGGACCAAATACAGAATTGATGGGATGATGGGCTGCATGTGAAAAGGCTAATTTAGTTATTTGCACAGTATTACCTAGGAACTGTAAGGCAGAACAGACAGAACCACTTTTCTGTATTGCTTTCCCCTGCCTTAACCTCTTGTTTTTGCATAGTTCACTACAAGCCTTCTCTACCTAAAATCAGACATGAATCCTATAGTCACTAGCCTTCTTCACTTCATAATCCAGATTCACCCAATAACCACTTTTAACATTCAATTTTATGAGATATGTTTCTTCCAAACCTCTAATTAAATCATTTTATCAAATGCTTCCTCCAAGGGCAAAAAAAGGTTGCTCTTGCAAAACACATTTCTGCGCTACCTAATTTTTGAATACTCAACTTTACAAGGCAAGTAATTGCAGGGCTCTTTTATTATATATAAAATAATAACAATAATAATAAAAAGGTAATACAGATTTTGCCTGCATAGAAAAGTCAGTCACCATTATCTAGAATAATGGAGGCTCAAATAAACCTCAAATAGCAGAAAAAAGGCGACAAGCTGTGGGAACAGAGCTGGCTCCAGCTTGGCCCTATTTGCTGCAGTTCAGCACCGGCGCTGCCGGGCGCAAGACGAGGGCTGCACGGAGTGATGCCAGGAGCCTGCGCACTCTGTTCTCCAATGCCAAGACGATGGTCTAGCGACAGCAGACAGCTCCATAGCTGAACTAGTAACGTCTTTGCAGAAGCAATCACGCTGCTGGGATGTGCCCCTTTGGACCCTGAGTGAGACACTACCGCTGCCTTCATGCCCACCCCTGGTTGCCTTCACGCAGAGCCTCTCAGGGTCTCTGTGCTGCACCTCCCACCTCGCTGCTTCTGGCGGCACATCGATTCCTCATCAAAACAGGCCTTGCAAGAGCTGAAGTATCAGTCTGTGCAAGCTCTGACCCTGGAACCAGTACAGCCACACACGACACGCTGGAGCTTATGTGACCTTCCAAACCCAAGCAAACTCTTGGAAGACTTGAGGTTCAGTTTCTCTATTCTTGGCATCATTGGTTTCCGTTCACCAAAAAGGATGTGTTCCCATGCTTTGGTGACACCTTTCTGTGTGACAGACACTGAAAGCCCTGTGCTGAGTACAAACACTGTTGAGAAGGTATCGAGGTGGCTCTCCATCCTTATTTCCCAATTTCTGCCTTACACAGGACCCTGGGTGATGGCATCCCGAGCATGGGGGAGCACCAGGCTCACCACTCTCCTCTGCCACTGCTGCTGCTCTCGCAGGAGGCTAATTCTGCCTCCTGCTCCTGGAAGTTTCACTGCTGCTCGGAGCCTTCCACTGTTCACATTTTGGCACACTGCTCCAGTCGCACGCAGCAGCACAGGCCAGGGATGGGAAGGGGTGACTTGTAGATGTGGCAGAATAACAAGATTTGTCATAAAATTGGAAGGGAAGAAGAACATCTCTTCCCCACAGGTTTTTTAGCTTGTTAAATTTCAGGGACCCAAAATAGAAAAAAAAAAAAAAAAAAGGTGTTGCAGCCTCTTAGAAACAACCACCAAACTAAACCAAAACACCCCCACACCCTGCCAGAGCTGCCTTGCAACTCTCAAGCAGCAATGCAAACTTAACTGCATAATCAGAAAATTAAAGCCTGGCATTCAAATGCCTTCAAGAGCTTCAAATGGGATCTAACCCACTCACAAATAACATTTCTAAGACACAGTGGGCTGTGTCTTAGACTGCATCAGTCTATTAACAAAAGAAGAGAAGCTAAAACCCTACTACCTGCATCAGAGCCAGAGAGTTCCTGCCATCAGAGGATGCATCAAGTGGGAGCTGGGCAGATCCCTCACCTTGCAGCACAGCCAAGTCCTCCTCCCTGTCCCCTCATAACCTAGAAGGAGCAGAGCCCCTCATCCCTGGAGCAGAAAAACCTAATTTTCTCAGTGCTGCTGAAAAGCTTGGAGCAGCATCAACCTTCTTGAATGAAAAGCAATAGGGCAACCAGCAAATGAGGGCTGCTGCCCGCTGCCCTGCACCGCACAGGGAAATGGGGATTACAGGGCAAAGAAACAAACACTCTGAAAGGCAGCTCTGCAAGACGTGACTTCTCAAGACCTCTTCAGGAGGAAGCTTTTGCAAGGCTGGTTACACATGTTTGTAGGTATGCTCGCAGAACAAGGTGCTTCAGCCTGTTCAAATGATCTCAGCTTTTCGGGCTCCGATACGATGGATGCTGAGCAGCGACGACTCGAAGAAGCAGCATGACTTTATAGTCCCATGGAAGACCCTGGCACAAAGTCATGCTAAAAAAAGTCATCCATCTTCACAAACTTCTGCAACAAGCAGATCACAGTAAATCCTTCAGATTGCCCAAAAAAAAATGGACACCAGAGCCACACGAAACCAATAAATACACAGATTTTCATGTTTAATGCCCTACTGTCCACATGGCCTTGCACGCCACATGGTCATAAACAGTCTCTGCATTTCACCTTACCTTGCATGGTACGTACACCCACACTTCTGTTTTGATCAATATGTATGCTTTGAATGCCAGCTTAATTAACTTGTTAAACATTTAGAAAGCCTCTAGATGAATGGTATGTAAATGATCTTCAGAGATTTTTAGCTCACATTTTTTTCCACCTTCAATCTTATTCAAAGAGAGAAAACACACAGGCATGGCAATGAAAACAAATATGACATGAAGTAAAAAGAGGAAACAATAAAAATGAAGAATAAGAAAGAGTAAGAATTTAAAAAATGAAGTACACCAAGGCTGATGAACAGATTCAGTTCCCCTAAGCTGTGCTACAGATTGCTGAGTACCCCTACACCAGGGAACAAAAGGAAAGCCAAAAGTGTATTAATGAACTGGATGAGTAGAGCAGAAGACCTTAAAATTACCAGGATTCCTACTTTCTAATGTCCAGGATGGAGTGCATCTTTTCAAGAACTGGTTTTTGCCTGTGCTTCATAGCAAAGTCAAACATGTTCAATCAAAAATGCACAAACTTTCTGTATAATAAAAAAGAACTAAGAACATGTATTCTTAAAGACTATTTTTATGATTAGCCTTGCTGGAGTTTATGGAAAGAAACTAAGATTTCTAGCTTTTACTTGTTACATACTGGGACGACTGACAGGCATCTATACCTGTTGTCAATGATAACTGTTCCTACTCATCAAAAGGACTTTCAAGAGGAGCTCTAAACCACCCTTAGTTCTTTCTTTTGGTTGCAGGCTTCTTTGCAGAACGTATTTCCTGTGGACTTTTGATATGTCAAAAAGGAAAGTCATTGAAGGGCTTAAGACCTTAGGAGGGCCAATAATGATACAAACAATATGGGATATTCAGGAAAAATCATTATTCCTCACTTAATACTTCTAAAAAATTCTGGCAAGAATCCTAGCAAAGAATGAAAAATTCTAAGCAGAATGAAATAAAGTATCAAAAACAGCTAAAAATGGACAGTTAAATATATATATATGTATTATATATAACAAGCGATAAACCATATTACTAAGCATTATTTAATAATGTAACTTGCATACTTCAATTGCCTAGAGTAAAATCTGTCATAACTTGAACTGGAAGTTTCCTCGCTAGAAAAAAAACAATTAATTCCCAGTTTAACTACCACGGCTTTCTTATCCCCTTCAAACAACTCATTGGTGTTTAAAGCAAAATCCTCAACAGCTAAAAAGCACATTGTCCTCGAGGGCTAAGACGAGACGCACGGCGTTCTCCAGGCTGACTCTGGGCCTCTCAGGCATTAGGGAGAGAAGCAGTAAAATTACAGATTCCTCAAGCGGAAACAAACTTATCATTTGTTGTAGCTTGCAATTCTTGAACCAAAGCAATAATAAAAGATAAAAATAAAATTAATAAAAAGCCTGTAAAATGATCACTACCTCACTTTAAGAAATTTAAGCACAGAGGACATTTTATTTTGTCTAAATCCTTATTTCTTGTATTTTCGCATTTAATTTTTTTTTTCATGTTATGAACTAAATTAACGGCCGGTTGAAAGTCTGCACAGCTCTACCTTTTTGCTCACAGTCCTGCAAATGCACACCAATAAAGACATGTCTATTCCCTTATAAATACACAAAATACATAGACATAAAGAGAGAGAGATCCAAA